TACAAGTACCATTTCCAGTTTTAAGTGGATTTACTTCCGTTTTCTTCAGCTTGCTTTCTAGGTCACATTCAGCAAAGACTTTAGTAAATAGAGTGAGAGAATACCCTAAAATTTAATAATTGTGTTGCTGAAATGAGTGATAGTTGCAGGAATTTGTTTTTTCAAGCCCATTTGTGCCAGAAATACAAGTCTAAGGGGCTGGTCTTCTCTGAAATATAGTAGATATAACAGCTAACTCTTCTCTTACATTAAAAATAAAATTATCAGAAACCTATGTGAGTAATATAAATAATTTATTCATTAACTAAATACATGGAAATACAGAAATGAATATATAGGTATGAACACATAAGGGACAGAGACAAGACAGAGGTGTTTATGCATTTGTTCCCTCTGTCTACAACATGGAGGATGGGCCAAGAGGGTCTCAGTGCCCTGAGCTGGAGAACCATGCCTGTGAGAATGAATAACTCCCAATTGATCCTGAACTTTTGTGGGATCTGCTGCTCCAGCTGGATCCTTACAAATCTATGGGGCCTGATGAAATTAATCCAGATTCCTCAAAGAGCTAGCTGATGACACCGCAAAGCCTCTCTGGATGATTTCTGAGTAGTCTTGGGAATCCAGAGAGGTTGACTTCCTGTTGACTGGAAGCTAGATAACATTGTCCCAGTTTTCAAAATGGCAAGAAGGAGGACCCTGGAAACTACGTGTCAGTCTCACTTCAGTGTCTGGTAAAATCATGGAAAATATTATTCTGGGAAATATTGAAAAATGCTTGGAGGACAATGCAGTCATCAGTCACAGTCAGCATGGCTTCATGAAGGGAAAATCCTGCTTATCAAACCTTATTTCCTTCTACAACAGGGTAACCCACCTTGTTGATCTAAAAATGCAAGGTAATTTATTCTTTTTGGACTCCAGCAAAGCTTTTGATACTGTCTCCCACAGCAACATTCTGGACAAAGCATCCAGTTCACAGCTAGATAACTGTGTTATGTGATGGGTGAGCAACATGAGCTGGGCACAATGCATTATAGTCAATGGGGTGACATCAGGCTAGTGTCCTGTCACTAGTGGGGTTCCGTAGGGCTCCATACTCAGCTCTGTGCTCTTCAATATCTTCATTTATGACTTCGATGAAGGACTCAAAGGAATACTAAGTATGTTTGGCAAGGACACCAAATTGGGAGAAGCCATCAACTCCCTCAAGGGCAGAGAGGTCCTTCAGAGAGACTTTGACTAATTAGAGAGATGAGCAATCATCATCATATGAAATTTAACAAGTGCAAGTGCCAGATTCAGCACTTGGAATGGGGCAACCCTGGTTTTTATAAATTGGGGTATGAGAGGCTGGAGAGCAGTCCCATGGAAAGGGACCTGGGGGTCCTGGTCAGTGGCAAGTTGAACATTAGTCAGGAGCACCCTGGAAGCCAGGAGGGCCAAGCATGTCCTGGGGTGCATCAGGCACAGCATCACCAGCCAGGCAAGAGAGGGGATTGTCCTGCTCTGCTCTGCACTGGGGCAGTCTCACCTTCAACCCTAAGAGCAGTTTTGGGCAGCACAATATAAGAGACTTTGAGTTATTAAAGAACATCCAAAGAAGTGATAGATGGATGGGGAAGAGTCTGGAGCCCCTTATGAAGAGGGGCTGAGGTCACTCGGTTTGTTCAGCCTGGAAAAGAGGAACCTGAGGGGAGACCTCATTTTGGTTTTCAACATCCTCACAAGGGGAAGTGGAGAGATAGGCACTGACCTCTTCTCTCTGGTGACCTGTGACAGGACTTAATGAAATGGCATAAAGCTGAGAGAGGGGAAGTTCAGGCTGGATATCAGAGAAAGGTTTTTCATGCACAGGGTGGTTGAGCACTGGAACCGGCTCCCCAGGGAAGTGGTCACAGCACCAGCCTGTCTGAGTTCAGGAAGCATTTGGACAATGCTTTCAGGCACATGGTATGAGTCTTGGGGTGTCTTGTGCAGGGCCAGAAATTGAACTCAATGATCCTGATAAGTTCGTTCCAACTCAGCACATTCTATGGTTCTATGATTCTAAGAACAACAGAAAAAAATATTTCCATTCATTATTATCCATGCCAAACTACTGAATCAAGGAAGAAACTGAAGAATATTATTATGTGTGCTTGAACGAACTTGAACAAACAAATCATCTTTCCAATAGCTCAGCTTGAAACAGAATCAGAATCTTGATTCACAGCCTCCTGTGACAGCCACCAGAGAGAGCTACTACTAAAATGTTCAAGGTCATTTACTTAATTGTACTTATAATATTATTGGGCATTAGCTCAAAATGATTATGCAGAAAATTATTGCTTATGTTCCCAAATTATCATTTGCTCTGAAAAGTTGTGTAGAGCAGAGAAGTAATGCCTGTGTGCCTCCTTCTATAAATAAATGTCTACATTAAGTACAGTTTGTCTCAGAATGGAAAAGTACTTCCTAAGAAAACCTTTTACAGAGAGCAGATTCAGGTAGGAGTCTGACTTCACAGACTTAGAAATTTTGTGTCTTGCAGACTGACAAGAATGCACAATGACCATTCTATTTGATTTCATCATCTAATTTCTGTGCTGAGCTTGTGTACGCACATGTTCTTATTATAAATAAAACCATTATCTGGAACATAAATCAAATACTGTCAATAAGGGGTATTAATACCAGAACTCACTTATTAAAAATGTTAAACATAAGAATCCTTTTATTTTAAATAACTGTTTTATCTGAAAATTGGTTCTTTTAACAAGATTTAGCAAAACAGTCTTCTGAAATGTTTTCTCACCAAAAATCCTGGCCAAATAATTCACCATATGGAGACTGTCTTACTGTCTTTAAAATTCACAAAGGTAGCTCAGAGGCTTTACAATTTCCTATGGCATGATTACAGTTGTTGGATAGTATCCTGGTATGTACATATGGAAGATGTACTGCTGCACATTTTCATATACTACTTTAAATATTTTTTTTAAAAAAAGGAAGATAATAAATTTCAATTTACAACAGAAATATTCCAAACCTGAATTGGTAGAATCAGGGCTACTTGTCATATAAGACATTAAGTAGATCCCACTAGATGTGTTGAGCAATTGACCATGTTTAGTCTTTAAAAAGATGTAGATTAACTCAACTGTGTTCTCTAGGGCCTAATGGTTTTGCAGACTGATGATGCTGCAAGAAGCTCAGACATAAGGTAATTGCCTCTTCCTCTTTGTTTTTTGTTTTTTTTTTTTTTTCACATGTATATCACCAGTTACATATTAAGTAATGTACTACTAATAATCTATCCTTTTCTCACAGACTTAATGTGACCAGGCATAAGTTTGTAAGGGACATTTTAAAAGCCTTTAATCCCCTGCCATTGGCATGGATATTTTTCTCTAGATTAGATTTTTCAAAGTCCTATCCAACATGGCCTTGAACACTTCCAAGGATGGGGCATACACAAATTCTCTGGCTGATGTGTTCCAGTGTCTTGCCAGCCTCATTGTAAACATTTTCTTCCTTATGTTCAATTTAACCCTGCCTTCTTTCAGTTTAAACCTATTGTTCCTTTTTCTGTCACTACAGGCCCTGGTGAAAAGACCTTCTCTGTCTTTCTTTCTTTCAAATATATTAAATTGTGTGCTGGCATGAAGGCATCACACATGTGGATACAAATTTTTTGGCTACAGGTGATCACAGAGACAGAAACACAGACACAAATGTCAATGTATTTTTCCTGGCATCACAGTAATGCAATATGGAAGGTAGCACAGGGGTAAGAGCAAAATATTTCTATATTCTGAGTGACTGCTGGTGTATGAGGGAACAATTAAGAGAGACTTTGCAGAAGAGGGTACAGATTCAGTGGAGTTAACAGAGAAAAGGGGTAAAGGCTTTAAACTGAAAGAGTAAACTGACTACAGGTTTAGATTAGATATTAAGAAATCTTCACTGAGAGGCTGGTGAGACACTAGAACATGTTGCCCAGAGAAGCTGTAGATGCCCAATTCCCAGAAGGGCTCAAGAGCAGGTTGGAGTGGAGTTCAAAGCAATCTGGTCTACTGAAAGGTCCCCCTGCCAGGCTGGAACCAGGTGATTTTTAAGCTTGCTTCCAATGCAAACCATTCTATCATTTTAAGATCCCCTTGTTTTCATCTGACATGAAAAGATGGTTGTGTATGGGAAAATTTTTCAGCTCCTGTCTCTCAAATGTATATAAGCTTTACATGAATTAATAGTTAATTTTGACAGTAATATTGTTATGAAAATGGAACAAAAAGTATTCTGAATGATGGTTTTCAGAGTTGCTGTTATTCTTTCTTTGTAGAAGTACAAATGGCAAAAACCCCACAAACCCAGAGTATGAAAAGAGGATTTAATTAATACTGCATTGTGCCAAAGAGCACAGATATACTAAGTCTGTGTATAAGGGGTAGCTGAATAAGGAAAGAAATGGATTTAAAATATTAATTAAGGTCCAAATCCTTATTTTCATACTGGAGCCCTCAGTCCATTATTTCTTACCGTAACATCATATCTCACTTTCAGGTTGGATTATAAATTCTAGGAGGAATGTACATAACAGATAAGCACTCCAGCAACAGAAGTTAATAACAATAACGAGTACCTTTAATGAATCATGCCTCTGTTGGGGAGGTCCAATGTATCTAGAAAAGCTATGGCTAACATTTAGAGTAGCTCTAAATTCCCCTAATACTGAAGATGTTGTAATTCCTTAAGCTGACTCCACTTGAAAGTTCATATTGTCATGCACTTAATGACCATATTGACTTTTAAATTTTGGAGACTGTTACCAGTTGATTGTTGCAGGTGTCCCAAAAGCACAGTAAGTAAATGTAAAAATGTTACAGAAGCAAATTAAACCAAGATAAGATTTCTATTTACTTTAACAACGATGCAGTTTTGAATGCTTTTCTGTTTGTTTGTTTTGTCTTTTTTTTCCACATGCACATCAAAGTAAGTAAATGAAATTAAATACTCACTCCTGTTATGTAACGAGGTCTATACTGGATGGTTCCAAATAAGCCAAGTATGACTATAATAATGTGTATAAAATTTGCGAGGATGGGTGCCCACTGATAACCAAGGAAGTCAAATATCTGCCTCTCGAGCACAGAAACCTATGATTAAAAAGCAAAAGCATGAATTAGATTAGAACAAACCAGAAAACATATATAAAGGTATTTCCCTTTCCCATATCCAAGACAATTGCTCTGAGTTAAAAAAATACTTGTCAGCAGTAAAATGAGTTTGAAATGCTACAACTTCTAGTTTCAATGAAAGCTGCACTTCGCACTGGTTACTGAGTTATATCCTACTAAGATACAAACCTGTTCACCTGGAATGGTATGTTTGCAGGAGGAGAAACACAAATCACTCTTATATACAACAGCAAATGTTTTAGGGTGTCAGTGCTTTTATCAGTGTTTTTATTGCAATGTTTTAGGGTATCAGGGCTGAAAAAATGTCATAGGTTTACGACATCTTCTCAGCTACATTGTTTCCATTTACAACACCATCCTTTAGCCTGGTCCTGTCTCTTCCACGATTTCACTGCATTTTGATTTTTATCTCTTCTCTCTACCCCAGCTATTCTGTCAGTGGACTTTTACCTGTAACCAAATACATACAACTTCTTGACCTGGTTCTACTGATAATGGTTTTAGTTTACTTTCTTCCAGATGTCAGAAACATCAGCTGAAGTATAAACTTCCCCAAGACTCTAGATAAATAATATTAAAAATCAATTAAGAAACAATCCCAGGCTGATGTTTACTGTTTATAAGCAATATCATTCCAAACAGACATTAGAAAAAAATGCCTTCCTAACAGTACCAGTAGAAATAATTCCACAATTCCAACAGTAGATGTCCCTTAACTGCTGTTCTAACATTATGTAAAAATACAGTACTGTAGCCCAACCCATAGATAGAATGGCATGTTTTGACAAAAATAATATTTATGCTAATATTAGAAGGCAATGTAATGGTGAAGTGACTTTAGACAGAAAGATCAGGGTGTTTCTTTTACAGCATTCCAACAATTTCACTAACTGTAATGGTGAATTGATAAACTTCATGAAAATGTGAATATTGAAAATAAAATTTAAAAATGAAATTATTATTGTTAATAATTAAAACAACAGCAATTTAGACACCACACACATGAAAGAGAAAGAGAAAGAGAAAGAGAAAGAGAAAGAGAAAGAGAAAGAGAAAGAGAAAGAGAAAGAGAGGAAGAGAAAAAAAAAGAGCAGGTGGTTGTTTCTTGATTAATTTTCACTAAATGACAGGTGATTATTTACTGGTTTTATGTTATGCTGTGTATGAACTGAATTATGTTTATGTGCCAGCCACTCAATGTAAAAAAATAACACCTTTTGAGATCAAGTACTAAATGAGTAATTAACTACTGCTTTTGTATAGTACAGCTATGGAAGAATTTTTCAATTTTCATGTCACAGTCCACTATCACATGAACACTTTCTTTTTGAAATTAAATAAGAAAACTTTTCATTAAAAGACAGCCTACATTCACATCAGCATTGCAAATGTAAAAAAGGCTGTTAATTATATGCTATGTACTGACATTTGTTGAACTTTGAGATGGAGACTGCCAAAATAATCCTGGGAAAGTTTGCCAGCCATGTAATTTCAAATTTGAGTGTTCAGGTTTCATTTCAAACATTGAATTTCTTTTTTCAACAAAGAGTCCTTTCACCCAATGCATCCTTCTTATAATCAGTCTTAGTATTTTGACTACCATTTTATTTTACATATTTATTGAAAAAAATTATATTCCTACATTATCCAAAATCTTTCTGAACTATTTGTGCTATCATACAACTCTGCCTAGCAGAGGAAAGTCACAGAAGAGTTCCCAGAATCCCAAGACGTGTCTAATGGTGACAATGGGATGAAGAAATAAAGAAGAAATAAAACTAAGATCAAGCTGTATTAGGAACTTCATGAAAACTCAGATTGTCTATCCTTCTAAGTTAATCATTAAGAAATATTTCCTTGACTACAGACACAGTAATTTACATTAAAAAAAGGCCAACATGTGGCACGAAGCAGTATTACATAGGCCAGTGTGAAGTCTATTAGGTGTATCAGCAAAAGACCTGTTACTCCTAGGTGCTGTTAAACAGGTAACAAAGGGAAAATGCTCCATATGAGCACAGAGCCCTTATTTTCATCAGATAAACAAAGAGCAAATGAGAATAGCAAGGCAGTAGCAAAAAGAGTATAGACTGTACACTAGACTGCTTCTAGTTTAGTAACAGTAGAGATCCAGCAAGCACAAACAATACATAGGAAGATGCAAATCATTCAAACAGCAGGAGACCATCCAGTTAAGTATGCCAATTATAGAGGAAAATTGCAGCATGCTAGTTAATTGTATAAAAAGCAGAAAACCTCATATCCCTGACACAACTTCTAGTCAAAAATGAAACTGTGCTACCATGCATCAACATGTTTTGTTTGCTTGGTGAAATATGCAGTTCCACCAAAACTTGCATATGGTATGCATTGAATAATTGGCTATTCTGTGAGAATGTTTCCTTTTTTATACACCAATGTGCTCTTTCGTTTTTTCCCATTACTAGCAATTCCTTCCAAGCAGTCACTCTCACCTTTTGTGGTTATGTTGAATTTGGGGTGAGTAAATACCAGAGAGCAGGGCACACAAGGCAGGGGCTAAATACAGAAGAAAAAGATGAGTCTGAACCACTTCTGTCCATGTATATCTACCTCTCATTTTCCACAGGCAGAGTTGCTATTAGGTTTTCTCACGTTACTTCAAGAAATCAGCTGTGTGCAGGAGCTGCTGGATATGGGAAATGGCAGCACTTTGGTCAGGTATGCACAGATGAAATGCTGTGGAAATGCAGCTCTTCCTTAGAAGATCACACTGACATGGCAGGTGCGTTGTGGATTTATGAAATGGAAATTACAGGACAGAACTAGATCTTTATTCTCACTTCCTGAAGAGATGAAGGTGAAGAGAAACTAAAACTTATCTACAAACAGACATAAATATAATAAAGACTATCTACATGAGTTACTTTAAAAAAAATCTCACTGTCTGTGTTTCTAAAAGGAGGAAAGAGGAAAGTAGGACAAAGTAGTAACAAAGACTATTAAAAATAGTATTATGTAGCTTTCTCCTTTTCCACAGATGTCAGAATCATAAGGGATTTCCTTACATAGCAAGAGAAAATATAGATCTAATTTTGAAAGCATTTTATCTCTTTACTTCAAAATTTTTGGTTCAACAACTGCACTTCTTAAATCATACCTGCTAGCATCAAACGTTTAATGATGTTTCAAGGATACTACAGAGAGAAAGGAAAGAACTAACAAAGACGTGGGCAGTGAGGTTTCATGCACCTTCAGCGAGTTTACTGATGACACCAAACTGTGTGGTGCATGGAGGGAAGGGATGTCATCCAGAGGGACCTTGACAGGCTTCAGAGGTCCATTTGTGTGAAACTCATACAGTTCAACAAGACCAAGTGCAAGTTCCTCCACCTGGATTCGGGCAATTCCAAGCCCAAATCCAGGCTGTGCAGGGAACGGATTGAGAGCAGTGCTGGGTAGACAGACTTGGGGTTGTTTGTGGACAAAAAGCAAAACACATGCACTTGCAGCCCAGAAAGCCAGCCCCATCCTAGGATGCATCAAAACCCAGTGTGGCCAGCGGGGTGAGGGAAGGGATTCTGTCCTTCTACTCTGCTCTGGTGAGACTCCAGCTAGAGTGTGGCATCCAGCTCTGGGGTCCTCAATACAAGAAAGATATTGACTGGTTGGAACAAGTCCACTAAGGTCACTAACTTGGTCACAGGGCTCAACACCACTCCTATGGGTTGGGAGTGGGGACTCTTCAGCCTGGAGAAGAGAAGGCTTTAGGGACGCCTTATAGCAGCCTTCCAGCAGCAAAGAGGGGCTTACGAGAAACCTGGAGAGGGATTTTTTTAACAAGAGCATTTAATGACATGACAAGGGGAAATGGCTTTAAGCTGAAAGAGGGTAGGTTTAGATTAGATATTAGGAACTCTAATAAACTCTTTCTTGTGGGGGTGGCAAGGTATTGGAACAGGTTGCCCAGAGTAGGTGTGGACTCCTCATTCTCTGGAGGTGTTCAAGGCCAGGCTGGATGGGGCTTGGAGAAATGTGAGCAAGGTGCCCCTGCCCATGATAAGGGTGTTGGAACTAGATAATCTTTAAGGTCCCTTCCAACCTAAACCATCCTGTGATTCTATGATTCTGGGAGTTTAAATTGCGAAAAGGGAAAATGGATGCTTTGGATGAAAAAGTGTAATACGGTTTGAAAAGAAAACTATGTTTTAATTCAATTCCACTCTAATAATTCAGTGAACTCAGAATGTAGGGTTATGGACAGTCAGGTTCTAATGTTAGAAAATAAACACTCACCACATTGTCTTAGGCAGATTATTTGATGTATTCACTGATAAAATTACAGAAGACTTTAGTTAAAGGGAACTGTTTTACTACTGCATTATTTATTCCAGACTCCGGCAAGCTGTTGTAAAAATAAATGAAAAATAAAATTAACCCATATAGTGTCAAATAGGCATAGCTCAAAAACTATTTCCAGATTCTTGTCAGAGGCTGGTTGTTAATAGATTAACAGTGTTACTGACCTTGAGGGATCTCTGAATTGAATTTCCAGAGGCAAATGAAAAATATTTGGAGATGATTCTTAAAATATATGATTGGACTAGAATTTCAGACAGGAACCATAAAGAAGAAACCAGTCAAAAGATGATTTATAACACAAACTCCAAAATGGAAAATGACTAAGTGCCTTTGCTCAGAAAGCTCCTTGAGAAAAAAACTCAACCACGGCTACTTTACAATGACACAGAATCTAAACTTTGCACTGATATAAATTAAAGTTCACATAGGCAGAGACACTCAAGAGGATCTGTATAGCCCCTGCCAGCCAAGGTCCCTGGACAGCTAACACAGCACACAGGCACTCAGCACACCAGGGCTTTGGCAGGGTCACACAACTGGCTGAATGGTGGTAACAGGCCCTCAGCAAACTCCAAAGGAAGAAGAGTATTAGCTTAAATTACAGCGCAGGAGAATTA